AACATACAGTTCAAGAGCCAACGCAATTGCGTAGATCCACTAGAGAACGGAGAAATGCTATTCCGGATGATTATGTGACATTTCTTCAAGAAAGTGAGGATAATGATGGCATGACTGAGGATGATCCAATTAATATTTATCATGCCATGAAGGGTCCTTATTCAGATAAATGGATTAATGCGATGCGTGATGAGTACAAGTCAATGCAAGACAATAAAGTTTGGGAACTTGTCCCATTGCCAGAAGGTGCAAAACCCGTAGGTTGCAAATGGATTTTTAAAACCAAACGGGATGCAAATGGTAATGTGGAGAGGTATAAGGCACGTCTTGTAGCTAAAGGCTATACTCAGAAAAAAGGGATTGATTATAAAGAGACTTTCTCTCCGGTTTCTTCGAAGGACTCTTTTAGGACAATCATGGCTCTTGTGGCATACTTTGATTTAGAGCTCCATCAAATGGATGTTAAGACGGCGTTTCTGAATGGTGACATTAATGAAACGATCTATATGGTACAACCAGAAACTTTTGAGGTCGGTGACCCAAAGCAAATGGTTTGTAAATTAAGAAAATCCATCTATGGGCTCAAACAAGCGTCTCGACAGTGGTATCACAAGTTTCATCAAGTAATTCTCTCATATGGTTTTGAGATGAATGTGGTTGATGATTGTGTTTATCATAAGTTCAGTGGGAGCAAGTTTATTTTCTTGGTTTTGTATGTGGATGACATTTTGCTTGCCACAAATAATGTGAGCATGTTGCACGAAACTAAGAAATTTCTCTCGAGTAACTTTGAAATGAAAGATCTTGGTGAAGCATCTTTTGTATTAGGGATCCAAATATATCGTGATAGATCTCGGTGTATTCTCGGATTATCTCAAAAGAGCTATATTGATAAAATACTCGAGCGATTCAGCATGCAGAAATGCAAGCCGGGAGATACCCCTATAGCTAAAGGAGAGAAATTAAGTCTCAGCCAATGCCCTAAAGCAAATCTGGAAATTGAGGAGATGGAAAAAATCCCCTATGCCTCGGCAGTTGGGAGCCTCATGTATGCACAAGTATGTACGCGTCCAGATATTGCGTACATAGTCGGTGTGTTAGGCAGATACCTTAGTAATCCTGGATTGGATCACTGGAAGGCAGCCAAGAGGGTGATGAGATACCTGAAGAGAACCAGTAATCACATGCTCACATATAGGAGGTCAGACCAATTGGAGATCGTTGGATACTCTGACTCCGACTTTGCAGGATGCCAAGATAGTAGGAAATCTACATCTGGCTATGTTTATATGTTGGCTGGTGGGGCCATCGCTTGGCGCAGTGCCAAACAGACACTCGTTACCAGTTCCACGATGGAAGCTGAGTTCGTGGCGTGTTTTGAGGCATCACAGCAAGCGATTTGGCTAAAGAACTTTGTCGCTGGGCTGCGAATCATTCCGATGGTTGAAAAACCCATCAAGATTTTCTGTGACAACAATTCAGCCGTTGAATACTCCAACAACAATAGGAGTTCATCCAGGTCAAAACATATTGACATTAAGTTCCTAGTTGTGAAGGAGAGAGTGAAAGATCATCATATCTCGATCGAGCACTTAGGGACGAAATCTATGTTAGCAGACCCCCTAACTAAAGGTGTAACGCCTAAGGTCTTCCATGAGCATACTGCTCATATGGGTGTGTTACAATTTGAGGAAGCTTCACTGTAGTGGGAGTATGCATTTACATTCTTTTGTCCTTCACTTGATATTTGTTTTATACTCTTTTGATCATTATTTCGGTTATGATGTTTTGGACATTATGATTAAGTAATTTACGATCTCATTCAGTTTGGACCAGTAGAAAATTGACATATTTAGATCACACTTATGTAATTTTCTCTCTGCACGTTCCATGATTGATCTATGTCATTTGATTACACTGATATTTGTGATTACTGTAAGTTTAGCTGTTGATACGGCGAATGCTTCTTTAGTCCTATATTGCTGTGATTGATGGACCAGATTGTTGCAAGCCTTGTTTTATAATGACTGAAAATTGAGCTCATAAGGAACAATATGTTCATTCAGACACATACTAGATCCAGTGGGAGATTGTTGGATTTGGGATCAAATATGTGTATCGAATATGTTGTTAAAGTCATTATTTTATTCAGTCTTATTATTTAAGTGATCTAATTAATACAATTAATTATTGACTGATAGGTTTGATTGTTATGGAATGAAAATGCAGCTACCCGTATAATATTATTATTTTGGTGACATGACAAATTAATAATATTAATTAAGGGCATAATTGTAATTGCAATTATGCTTGCCCTATTATAAATAGGCTAGGGTTAGGTCCCCATGATCAGCACGCCGTAAAAGAGATCTAATTCTCCCTGCAGTTTCTGCTCCTCACCCGTCAAGGACAGAAAAGAAGCCGGCTCTCTGATCTTGGAAGACCAAACCTTTAATCACCCAAGATTTGTATATGGCTTCATCAGGTACGCTTCCGCTTTAAAGGATCGGGCATTTAAATTCAACATAAGAATCTCTAGACATCGATACGATACATAAATAAAATAGAAAAAATAACTACTGCAGACTGTAAAAGTAAATGGTAATCCCCAAAAGAAATTCCAGTGAATTTGTTGTCGATTGAAGATTGAAGATCCCTTTTCCAAGAGGGACATGAATCTTTAAATATTCCCTAAGGAAACGTTTCAAAACGCCGCCTGGTCGGTTATAGCAACTGCCGTCAACCGCCCGCTAATTCCTCTTCCATTGACACGTGTTTTAACTGAATCATCAACCATTCCCACCAGTTACAGAACCCAACTGGCTCGACCGACTGCCTCCTGACACTTTACCTCCTTAAATAGACGGCTGATCCTGAACGACCGCTCAACCGCCCAGCAAACTTTAGACAGACTGTAGGCCGACCGACTGAACCTACCGAATAACCCAACGATTGACCAACCGACCAATCCAGATACTAACTGGTCACTAGACCAAACGACTAATCAGTCGCCCAATCGAGCGACCACCATCCAGTTTCTTCAAACGGCTGAACAACCATTCGTCCAGTCAATTTATTGGTCGCCACCAATCAAGCGACCAACTGACCGCACTTTCAAGCGACTGAACTACTGTTTGACCAAATGATCGGCCAATCGATCAGGCGATTAACAGATCGCCTAATTAAACGACCAAATAATAGACATTTCCTTTTGTCCGACCTCCGTGTCTGTCATCTCATCTTTCTTCGCCCGACCTCCTTTTGACCGATCTCCGTATCGGTCTTCTCATCTTTCTTCGCCCGACTTCCACTTTTGACCGACCTCCGTATCTGCCGTCTCATCCTTCTTCGCCTGACTTCCTCTTTCGACTGACCTCCGTATCGGCCGTCTCATCTCTCTTCGCCCGACCTTATCTTGTCCGACCTCCTTTAAGACCTTGCTACCATTATCAGGTCAATTGGACTATATATCAATCCAATTTATAAACCCTATACATTATTATTATTATTATTATTATTTTTTCTTACGTAACAATTATATTTATAGTTACCTGGTCTTACATATCATGTTACATTTTCTATTTTCGTTCGTCCTATGTATTATGTCACTTTTGTTTTGGAGAAATATTATACATTTTAATCATATTTTACATTTTAAATTTCACTATAATTTTATAATTTTTATTCAAATAATTAGTTATCTTAATCTCAATCTATAATTGTTTGTATTATATTGTAATTAATTTTACTAATAATACTTAATTATTTATTAATCATACCCCTCATAAATTTTATTGTCTACAGTAACTATGACAAAATATTAAGGACGGAGGAGTATTTTATACTCCGTATAATTTTCAATATAAATATGATGTTAACTTGACTGCAAAAAAATGGTATCGAAAATATGAATTTAAAATTGTCACACAAACAATATGAGCTTATCTTTCAATATCAATCATCTTATTTCAAAATTTACAAGATCAGGTATATTTTACTTCTATAGTATACATATATATTACTCTATTGTTAATCATTTTATCACACTAATATTTCTTTAAATATATGATAGAGAAACAATATATAATTAATATAAAAATTTATTCACACTTTTATAGATCATCCTTATATATTTTTAGTATATGCTCCACCTTCATGAGCACGAACGAAAAATCGTAACATTCTAATTTTTGTATTACTTCTTAATTGATTTGAAAAATATTGTATATTTTTTATAATATATTTATCAACATATTAAATTACATATATAATATTATTTTTAATAATTTTTACAACCTTGCAACTCTCATGTGCACCATTAGTAGAAATTGTACTACAAGACATATTCAATACCATAACTAAAAAATAAAAATAAAATTATGTATATACTCTCTATGTCAATTAATAATATTTTCAGGTATATGAATTTAGGTATATTAATATTTTATTAAAATGCAGTACACATATTGTAAATATAATTTTATTTTAATTTTTAATGTAAAGATAATAATGATACGATAAAATAGATGTATTTCGTGGAATGTAACTTTATTTTTAAAAAAAAAATGAAAAAATTTGAATCCAAAAACTAATAAAAAAATAAATTAAGAGTATATATTTTTTTTTATGAATTTAAAAAAAATTTAATTTAAATTTGATATACAAAGAAAATATAATGAAATATTTTATAAAAAAAAAATATAGTATATATATTTTAAGAAATACATGGTTAAAAAGTAAAAATTTGTTTAAATGCAAAATAAACAAATGCTTAGTGAATGGAGCAGGGAATAGCATACTTTGAGGGTATATTTGTTTGGAGATTGAATTTTAATTACACTATTTATTATTATTATTTTTTTATTTTTTTATTTTTTAAAAAAATATCAAATTAAACAACTATTTTTTATATTATAAACACCTATTTATATTTAGATCATACAATTATTTAAATTCAAAAATTTAATATTCACACCCAACTCAAAATCCAAACGCTAAAACAAACACACTCTGATCAATGTATTCATAGAAGTAACAAAGAGCACCTGACATGAACGGACCCTAGAAATCCGACTCGTCTATAAATTTCCGACCAAACACTCTCCAATGACTAACACAGAACTCGCCGAAGAAGACGACAATGGCTATCAACATCACCGTGAAGCAATCGACGGTTGTGAAGCCATCGGAGCCGACGCCAAAGACAATCCTCGAGCTCTCCAACCTCGACTCCATTATGCCGCGCATTATGTACGCACGCGTACTCCTCTTCTACCGTCGTCCCGCCGCCGCCTCCGCGTTCCTCGACTCCGCCGTTCTCAAGTCCGCCCTCAGCCGCGCCCTCGTCCACTTCTACCCCTTCGCCGGCCGACTCACCGCCGACCAAAATAACCACATCCAAATCGACTGCAACGGCGACGGCGCTCTGTTCGTCGAGGCGGACTCCGACGCCGATCTGGAAGACCTCGGCGACTTCTCCCCGAGGTACGACGTGACGCTCATCCCCGCCGTCGATCATTCCAAGCAAATTTCAGAAAAGCCCCTTTTCCTCGTCCAGGTTCATAGCTGAATTGCTCAATTTAGTGAAATAAAATTCAATTAGGGTTTGAAAACTTTGAAATTGACGAACATTGGATTATTGTGGTGCAGGTAACACGATTCCGATGCGGCGGCGCGTGCATCGGCTTCGCGGAGGACCACCACGTCGCTGACGCAACCGCCTATCTCAAATTCATCCACACCTGGGCGAATTTTGCACGCGGCGAATACACCACCGCCCACGCGCCGCCGTTCATGGACCGCCGTGAAGCTTTATCTCCCCGCCGGCCGCCGCGGCCGGCGTTTTCCCACGTGGAGTACCAACCGCCTCCGGCTTTGAAGAAACCCCAAAACGACGTCGCACCAGGTTCCGTTGCATTTCCAAAAATGTGCAAACTAACAAAGGAACAAATAACCGCCCTGAAAGCCAAATGCCAGGCCGAAAACGACGTCGTCAAGCTCACGACCTTTGAGGTCGTGGCGGGGCATATATGGCGGAGCATCACCGCCGCGCGGCGGCTGCCGTCCGATCAGAGCACCAAGCTGCGGATTCCAGTGAACGGAAGGCGGAGGATGGAGCCGCCGCTGCCGGAGGGGTATTTCGGGAACGTTCTCTTCCACGCCACGCCGATCGCTCCGGCGGGAGAGCTTGTGGAGAAATCCGTCGGATTCGCCGCCGGGAAGGTGCACGAGGCCATGGCGGCGATGCGGAGCGAGCGGCTGCAGTCGGCGCTGGACTATTTGGAGATGGAGAAAGATCGGTGGGACGCCATTGGAGAGAATTTGATGAACTACGATTCGCCGAATGTGTCGATTGTGAGTTGGATGTGGATGCCTCTATACAATCTGGATTTCGGATTCGGGCGGCCGTGTTTTGTGGCGCCGGGATATGGGAAGGGAATTGATATCCCGGCGGGGTCGAGCATGGTTTGTCCGGCGGCGGAGGACGACGGTGGACAGGTGGTTTTCACGGTGGCGGGGGATGAAGGAGAAGGTGACCTGTTTGAAAATGTCTTTTATGATTTTTAATTTAATAAGTTAGGGCGTTAGTTTGAATTTGGTAATAATAATTTTTGCATCAAAATTCGTTTCTCGAGCTAAAATAAATTGGAAACATTAATGGAGCTGATGCGGTTGGACCGTGACAGTGATGTCATGCATTTAAATGTCCTCAGTGACGTCATGCATTTGAATTTCCGTGATGTCATCTTTGGTGGGTTTGGTTATGGGTTCTGTAGAGCCACCGAACCTGCTGCTCAGGGGTGGTAAAAGAGCCGAACGGTCGGACCCAATTGAATTGAATTGAATTTCCGTGATGTCATCTTTGGTGGGTTTGGTTTGGTTTGAATATAAATACTACATATTTGATATTTGTTCGTTTCGATTCGATTTTGATTTTTTATATATTTTTTTTTCAGTTTGTTTAACCGAACCGAACATATTTATATATTTATATTAATATTATATTTTAAAATTGATATAAATAATTATATTTGATTCGATTTCGGTTCGCTTTCGATTCGAATATTTATTTGAAATATTTGCAAATATTTTTTATTTAATTAGAATTTAATTTTTATTATATATTTTTTTTCTTAATTTCGATTCGGTTCGAGTTATTTGTAAATACTACAAATATTTTCGGTTAATCGAAATTTTCGGTTCGGATACAGTTCGCGATTTCGGGTATTTGTTCGATTCGGTTCGGTTATCAAATAAACTCTACCGTGAAACCGAGTCGAATATGGATTATTTTTCCGAAAATTAAAAATTAGATACATCCCGGTAGTGTCTCTGGTGGCTGGCGTTATAACCCAAAGATAAAACAGTTTCTGTCTCCAATGAGAGTGACACATCTAATCGTTGGAGCTCCGACGAACAAAAACGAGAGAGGAACTGAGTTGGAGAGGTTGTCGGAAAGCTAGAAGAGATGAGATGAGAATGAGAGAATTGTTGATGTTGGTGTTTAGAATAAAGGGGGGAAGCCCTTTATATAGGCGTCTCCACTCGGCCAAAATAGCAGGGGATCAATTACGATTATAATTACGACTTTAATTATCAATGTAATTTATTCTAAATTCAAACATTATGTTTGAAGCAGTCGTAATTGATTCTAATTACAAACGAAAATGTGACAATCATAATTTATTCTAATTTTAAACATTCCGTTTGAAACGATTGTAATTTATTCTAATTTCAAACCTTCCGATTATAATATATTTATCCAACGGATAATATTTTATCTAAATAATACTGCGACTTAGAATTTAATTTGGGGTAGCACAATTTGGTTTGTCTCAAGAGAGACAAAATAATCAAAATATTAATTAAACTCCATATACAATAAATAATATTTATTTATTTATTAGATTAATTTGGTACACCAACCAAATTAATCGAATACAAAATAACCAATTGGTTGCCCAAATGGAAAATGTGAATTATCTATAGGATACTTTATTTGATGTTGAAAATAAAGATACTAAATATGTGTATGATTCAAATGCTATGACCGAGATGTGTTAGAAATTGTACAAAATATTGGAATGGAAAATATAAATAGAAACAATATATCATGATATGGAACTACCATAATGAAAAACTATGCAAGTACTTTTGATACCTCTCATGTCATGGTCACAATAAGTCTATTGAATTGTTAATACGAACGCTGAGATCATATGCACCTCAATTCAACATGTTTGTTAAACACAAAATTATTGTGTTTGTTTGGGGGATTGGATTAGATTTCCAATATTAATTCTATTTTTTCTCCCCAAAAATATCAAATCAAACATCTATTTTTTATTATTTATATTATACTAAAAATTATTTACATTCAAAACATCACATTAACACCTATTTATATCACATCATACAACTATTCAAATTCAAAATTTTTACTATTCAAATCTCAACTCGAAATCCAAACTCCCAAACAAACACACCCAGAGAACTATTTTTATTGTTGCTTAATGAATCTCATAAAACCATCTTTATGTTTGGTAGAATTCATATTACTCCCTCTTTAACTCTGTATTAAGTATTTTATGTTTTATACTTTAAACATAATTTTTTTTTTTAATAAGTGTTGGAACAAGAATTCCCCTCACCTATTTTGGCATATTGTCTTCCATTCTTTCCTGCTGTTGCCTCTTACAGTTTTTCTTTTGGAGTAATTTGTCTTATCTAGTTGCTGCAACAACCTGTATGCAACTTGTTTTGTCTCTTCTCTTCTCTCGTGGTAGCTTTTCAAGAGAAAAGGGATGAATACTTTGGGTTAGTCAACTTGGCACAGAGTTCATGAAGACACATCATTCCATTTAGATGCAAGAGATTATATTATGTTTGTTTTGCATGGTCTGCATGGTGGCTATCTTGTTTACCGTGATTGAGAGTGTGGTTGTGGTAAGGGGTTTAGAGAGTGTGTGTAGTGAGAGAAAAAGTGTATCAATCCTCTCAACCTCAACCCTTCCATTCTCGATGTATTGAGTGCGTGTAAGACACATTTGTCTCGCTGGAGAGTTTGCCGGAAGAATGAGAAATTAAAGTTCTGATCAAAGGAAGCATCCAAATTTTGAGCAACGGTGCTATTTGGTAGTCGTTAGTACGCGCTTGTGACGACATATACCTGATGAGAAGTTTTTCCTAGGTAACCAGTATAGTTGTATGAGTTTTGGTTGTTTTTGTTCTTAGTTAGCACTGATTAGTGAACTACTCCTGGATTCGAATCCCTCGGATGTAGGTTGGTTATAACCTAATCGGGTAACCAAATATCTTGTCATTTATTGTTTTAGCCACTGCATTTATTTTGTTGACAAAATGTTGTTATAACTGTGATATAACTACGTTTTGAGAGTTGACCCTTAAATAGGTGTTCAAATGTGATTTGGCTTATTTCTTACTAAAACTCAACACAGAATGGCTTATTTCTTTCATGAGCATTAGTCTCTAGAGAATCCTAAAACACATCATATTCTTGCTAAAAGGTTTTGCTACAATTGCTTGTACAAACTTACTTCAGACCATTTCTTATACACTTCTATGTTCTCATTTAATCATCAATCTTCATACCTCTACAAACAAGCCACCATCAAGCTCTTGCCTCATTGATTCTACTGATTCTTATTTTAATGTAAGAGCACAAGAAAATGTAGTTAAGTGTAACTCTATTCTTTTATTGCACAACAGACTTAGCCAAAAATCTTGGTCCAAACTGAAACATATTGTATTTGAAAATTCAAGCAGAATTTCTAATTTTCACTATGATATATCATTTTTACCAAAATACACCGGCTGTCTTTCTCTCTTAGCATCTCGCATGATAATACTCTATTTGAGTTCTTATATATTAATGTTTAAGGGCCTTACAAACTCTTCACTCCCGCATAGTCCAAATAATTTATCCTTGTAATGGATGATCATTCCCATTGTACCTGGACATCCCTTTTGTCATCAAAATATGAAGTTTCAAAGTTGATCCAAACATAATCTCCTACATAAAGAATTATTTTGGTAACTCTCCTAAATATATAAGAATTGATAATGACAATGAATTTATTAGTTCTCACTACCAATTTTTGTTCCAATCATTTAGAATTATTCACAAAAGATCTATCCTATACACTTCATAACAAAATGTCAGGAGATAAAGAAAATATAAATACCTGTTAAACATTGAAAAACCCTTAAACACTTCTCACATATGACAATTTCAAAATTTTGGTTGCTATGCTTTGCACTAATTTTTTTTCCCTTATGGTAAATTCTCTTTCAAGGGCTAAAAGTACATTTTTATTGGATATCTCATTCATAAAAAAAATATATATTTTATAACCTTAAAACCAACCTCAAATTTCTCAGTTAAAATGTTATTTTTGTTGGATAATCGGTTAATCAGTTATTTATTTAATCAATAAAATTTAATATATAAATTAAATTCATAATTTTCGAAACCGATTATTCGCTGAGTTGAAATGCAAATGGGGTATATAATGGTTATTAGGCATATGAATGCCGGTAAAAATAAGTGCGCCGGCTGCCCGCACCAGATAATATAGTTGTGGATTTATACTTGGACTTGAGTTTGGTAAATAAATGGATTAATATAGTCAAGGGAGTTTAATTGAAATAACAAATATTTTTTGTCAAATGTAAAATCCAAGAAATTAAATTTATATACCAATAATAACCTCAAATTAGCATGCATGAGTATATAATGCATTTCAAATATAATTGCATCCACAATGCAAAATACAACTTATATTGAGTTTATACATACATGCATGCATGGAGGTTTTTGAAATACATGCATGGAAATTGCCATTATATGCAATGATTAATAACACATGGTGGTTACAAAATTCAAATTTTAAATTGTATAATGGTGATTGTGCAAATTAAATTGCATAAAAATGTTTGCTATGTGTGTAGGTTTTCAAATTGCTATTTATTTGCAATTTATTGACATGCAATTTATTGACATGCAATTAATCTTTGACCGTTACATCTGTGGGAGTGCTTAGTGCATGCAATTTATTTGCAATTTATTGGCATGCAATTAATCTTCGACCGTTACATCCGTGGGAGTGCTTAGTGCATCTCATTTGAATATACAAAAAACCAAGAGAAGATCTCTTCTCTCTACTCCTCTCATCCCCGAAAATATTTTTCGACAGAGTTTCCGATGAGTTGTCTGGTATAAATGACAACTCTTTTTTAAACATTATGGAGATCTCCAACGCGGCTGCAAAAATGACGTTGCAGCCGCATAATTGGAGTTTGGCCCCTCCAATGCAACGTCATATCCAACTCATTTTTTTTTTTTTGTTTGCTACAGTTCAAGTTGGTGTATTTTTTGTTTTTAATTTTTGTATATTAATTCTTTGATTTATTTTTTAATTTTTTTAAAAAAGATAATAATTAATTGTAGATATAGAAAATGATTTAAAATAATGTATAAAATGGAATATTTGAAGAATATTCTTTTTGGAGTAAAAAATAGAGTTGTGGATTAGAGTAAAAGTACT